CCAAGCCTCGGGACCCGTCCCGCATTCTTCCCCATCACAGTCCTGTACCCGCTTCCCTCTGGCCCCGTCGTCGGCAGCTTGATGCCCTTCCTGACAAAGCACAGGACCACGGGGTCGACCAGCTGCCGGACCCGCCCCTTCATCTGGTCAAGCCCGCGCGGGTGCGTGCTCTTCTTGCAGATGTAAATGAACATCTTGTGGAACCATGACCGATTGAAGTCCACCCCTGCCTCCACCGTGGGACTGATGATGACGAGCCGCTTTGCCCAGCTCTCGTTCACATTCCCAAGGCCCCGCTTCACCTCCCCATCAGAGTGCCGCGTGATGACGAGAATCTGTCCCTCGTCCACAAGCCCCCGCTCTGCCACCGCACTTCCCAGACTCCGCGCCCTGTCCGACGACATGCTGGCCACAAACACGTTTTGACCGGCCTCGAGCGCCTCAAAGATCGCGCTCTCCCACAGCTGGAGCCCAGCCCGCCCCTCAAGAAACTCGAACTGGAGAGGCCGCTTCGGCACGTGCTTGTTGATGATCACGGGGGAACAGCGGATCCCGTGCAGCGTCAGGAAGTCGAAGGTCCGCTGCCCCAGATGTCCGTCCAGGCAGATGACCCTGCGCGCGCGGCGAAGCAGCTCGGCAATCAGCCGGATGATGACGGTTCTCACCGACAGGGTGTCGGCCGAGAGGTGCGCGAGAATGGACTCGCTCTCGTCGAGAATGACCAGGTCAAAGGCCGGAACGGGCGCGTCGTTGCCCACGAGCCCACGCAGGCTGTCGACCTGGCAGATGACGTGCGGATAGAGCTCCCTGTCGGCGAGAGGCTCAATGAAGCGCTCCCCGACCTCGCGCCCCCGTTTCGTTTTTAATTCGCCGTAGTGCGCAAAATCAGGGTTCTTTCCAGCTGCATCGCTGGCTTGTGTCTGTCGGTAGGTGATCGCGAGGGCCGTCTCTGGTCGGGGGGGCTCCTGGAGGATGGCCCGGGTGGTCGTCGATTTTGCAGTGTCCATGGGCTCCTGATCAGCGCCGCCTTGTAGCGGCCAGTCTGCCACCTGCAAAGAGGAGTCGCTTTTGCATGAGCCAGCTGAAAGTAAACCTGCGGGTTCAAGTGCTCAGCCAAGGCGACTGTGTTGTCCCATTTGTGAAAGCATTGACCTGCAACGTCCTTCATAAGCGTCGATCTGCCTTGAAAAGCCGCTCACACAACCACCAAGAAAGAAGCCAGTTCAGAAGCATCACACAAGACTGGACCACACCTTGCACAAAGCTCGGCTCAGAAAAGAGGGGGGTCCTTTATAAACATTGTCAGGGTGTGGTCCAGTGAACCAAATCTGATTGCCGCATGTTCTTCAATGGCCTGAATGGCCGGTCCGTTCTACGGACGGGCTGGACCACACCTTGGGCCAGATTCTCTCTCAATGGTTTCTTTAATAAACATTGATTGTCAACTAAATCTAACTGATTGCCAGAAGCCTTTTGAACGGCCTGAACGACGGCCGATCTGATCTGCACGACTGGACCACATTGACAGAGTGCGGTCCAGTCAACTAAAAACTGATTGTCAACTAAAACCCAATTGTCAGAACCCTTTGAACGGCCCTCATGGCCAATCTGATTTGCACGAGTGAACCACACCTTGCGCTAGGCTCGGCTCAGAGAAGAGGGGGAGTCCTTATAAACATTGACAGAGTGTGGTCCAGGAACCAGAAATGATTGCCGCATGTTCTTCAATGGCCTGAATGGCCGACCTGATCTACGGACGGGCTGGACCACACCTTGGGTCTGATTCTCTCCAACAGTTTCTTTAAAACATTGAGAAGGTGCGGTCCAGTTAACGAAGAACTGACTGTCGACTAGAAACTGATTGTCATAAGCCTTTCAACGACCAATCTGATCTGCGCAAGTAGACACACCTTGCACAAGGCTCTCCCCAACGGTTAAGAATCACTGACACGGCGTGGTCCGACAAAGGGCAAAAGTGCTTGAGCCGTTTGAACAAGAAAGGGGAGGATGGACGGCCTGACTGGCGAAAGGACTGGACCACACCTTGCGCAAGACTATCTCGAACAGTTCATAAGAGTCATTGGCAGGATGCGGTCCAACAAAAATGGCCAGACTGCTTGCCATATGCCTCTGAATGGAGGAAAAGTTCGGCCTGGTTCACCAACGGGTCGGACCACATCTCGCGAAAGACGCTCTCAAGCAAAGAGTTGGGTCTTTTAGTAGGGCCTAACGAGCTCTGACACTCACTTGTTGAGAACGTCGTTGAGAACGACCATGTCCGTCAGCTCCTGGAACCCGCCGCGAATCAGCTGCAGGTCCATGGGCGCCGCGGCCAGCGGCTTCCGCTCCAGGTACCGCATGTTCACCTCCACCGCCCCGTCCTTCCAGGTCTCGACGTCCACGTAGAACGGGCCCAGGTACCGCGCGGGCAGCCCCTTGCAGCACACGCCCGTCACTGAGTCCAGACGCGTGCTGTCGCACTTTGCAAAGACCGCGTTACGCTTGGGATCGGCGATGACGAGGATGTCGCGCGAGCCCTC